CAGTAGTAGTATATTTGTTGATTACGAGCCCTAAATGTGGAGGTGGCTCGCTTTATATTCTTAGTAATTTAGTCCTTTTTTTATTATTTGTCTACCTTCCATCGACTTTAAAGAGGAAAAAATGATTTCCACCTTCCGAGCAGGAGGCGGAGGTCTGGTGTGGCTCGGGGTCAGTTGTATCTATGGGGGTTTGATGTCAGCTGCGGCTCGGTTGAGGCTCAGAGCCGGCTACTGATCAAAGAGAGGTTTAAGGTAACATGGCAGCTCGGATAAAGATAATTATAAGGTTATAAATGTGGTCTGGTTTCTTTGTACCAAGTGTGTTGGTTTAGAAGTGTTAATTGTACAAAAAAAGAGGGATTTGGTTCGGCACTCTAGTACCTAGTGAGGGTTGTTGGGGAGGGAGCTCGTGTGCACGACTATCTGTACTACCGTGCTATTGAACTCTAGTGTTGATAGAAGATTGTTGGAGAGGTGGGTGCTATTGTACACGAGTATAAAAACTCCAGTTCCATTGAACACTAGTTCTGATGGAAGATTGCTGTGGGGGGGGGGGGGTATGGCAGCGCAGGTATGCACGAGTATTAAGACTTGCTTTGGCTCTAGTGCTTAGACAAGTTGTGGGGGGGGGGTGGGGGGGCTAGGACAGCGCAGGTATGCACGAGTATTAGAAACTGACTTGCTTCTGAGCTCTAGTGCTTAGACAAGTTTGTGTGTGTGGTGCGGGGGGGGGGCTAGGACAGCGCAGGTATGCACGAGTATTAGAACTGACTTGCTTCTGAGCTCTAGTGCTTAGACAAGTTTGTGTGTGTGTGTGGGGGGGGGATGGGGCTAGGACAGCGCAGGTATGCACGAGTATTAGAACTGACTTGCTTCTGAGCACTAGTGCTTAGACAAGTTTGTGTGTGTGTGTGGGGGGGGGGGGGGCTAGGACAGCGCAGGTATGCACGAGTATTAGAACTGACTTGCTTCTGAGCACTAGTGCTTAGACATGTTTGTGTGTGTGGGGGGGGGGGGCTAGGACAGCGCAGGTATGCACGAGTATTAGAACTGACTTGCTTCTGAGCTCTAGTGCTTAGACAAGTTTGTGTGGGGGGGGGGGGGGGGCTAGGACAGCGCAGGTATGCACGAGTATTAGAACTGACTTGCTTCTGAGCTCTCGTGTGCACGACTATCTGCACTACCGTGCTATTGAACTCTAGTGTTGATAGAAGATTGTTGGAGAGGTGGGTGCTATTGTACACGAGTATAAAAACTCCAGTTCCATTGAACACTAGTTCTGATGGAAGATTTGCTGTGGGGGGGGGGGGGGGGGGGGGTGGGGGGGTATAGACAGCGCAGGTATGCACGAGTATTAGAAACTCGACTGCTTCTGAGCTTAGTGCTTAGACAAGTTTGTGGGGGGGGGGGGGCTAGGACAGCGCAGGTATGCACGAGTATTAGAACTGACTTGCTTCTGAGCTCTAGTGCTTAGACAAGTTTGTGTGTGTGTGGGCGGGGGGGGGGGGGGGGGCTAGGACAGCGCAGGTATGCACGAGTATTAGAAGACTTGGCTTGCTTCTGAGCTCTAGTGCTTAGACAAGTTGTGTGTGTGTGTGTGGGGGGGGGGGGCTAGGGACAGCGCAGGTATGCACGAGTATTAGAACTGACTGCTTCTGAGCACTAGTGCTTAGACAAGTTTGTGTGTGTGTGTGGGGGGGGGGGGCTAGGAAGAGCGCAGGTATGCACGAGTATTAGAACTGACTGCTTCTGAGCACTAGTGCTTAGACAAGTTTGTGTGTGTGTGTGGGGGGGGGGGGGCTAGGACAGCGCAGGTATGCACGAGTATTAGAACTGACTTGCTTCTGAGCTCTAGTGCTTAGACAAGTTTGTGGGGGGGGGGGGGGGCTAGACAGCGCAGGTATGCACGGTATTAGAACTGACTTGCTTCTGAGCAGTGCTTAGAATCAAGTTTGTGTGGGGGGGGGGGGGTGGCTATAGGACAGCGCAGGTATGCACGAGTATTAGAACTGACTTGCTTCTGAGCTCTAGCTAGACAAAAGTTTGTGGGGGGGGGGGGGGGGTGGGCTATGTAGTGCTATTAGAACTGACTTGCTTTTCTGAGCTCTAGTGGGGGGGCTCAGATAAGTTTGTGTGGGGGGGGGGGGGGGGGGGCTAGGACAGCGCAGGTATTAGCATATTAGAACTGACTTGCTTCTAGAGAAGTCTGCTTAGACAAGTTTGTGTGGTGGGGGGGGGGGGGCTAGGACAGCGCAGGTATGCACGAGTATTAGAACTGACTTTGCTGCTCTAGTGCTTAGACAAGTTTGTGTGTGTTGGGGCGGGGGGGGGGGGGGCAGCCGCAGGTGGGCACGAGTCTATTAGGGACTGACTGCTTCTGAGCACTAGTGCTTAGACAAGTTTGTTGTGTGTGGGTGGGGGGGGGGGGCTAGACAGCGCAGGTGGTGCACGTGTATTAGAACTTGACTTGCTTCTGAGCACTAGTGCTTAGACAAGTTGTGTGTGTGTGTGTGGGGGGGGGGGGGGGGCTAGATAAGGTATGCACGAGTATTAGAACTGACTTGCTTCTGAGCACTAGTGCTTAGACAAGGTGTGTGGTTGGGGGGGGGGGGGGTGGCTTAGGGACAGCGCAGGTTGCTGCGCAGAGAAAATTAGAAAACTGACTTGCTTCTGAGCGTATGACATGCTAGACAAGTTTGTTGTGTGTGTGTGTGGGGGGGGGGGGGGGCTAGGACAGCGCAGGTATCAACGAGTATTAGAAACTGACTTGCTTCTGAGCCCTAGTGCTTAGACAAGTTTGTGTGGGTGGGGGAGGGGGGGGGGGGCTATGACAGGGGGGATGCATGAGAATAGAAATTACTGGCTCCTGCTATTGAAACCCTAGCTCAGACAAGTTTGTGTGTGTGTGGGGGAGGGGGGCTAAGCTATGCATGAGTATTAGAACTGGACTTGCTTCTGAGCTCTAGTGCTTAGATTTGAAGTTGTGTGTGTGTGTTGGGGATCGGGGGGGGGGGGGGGGTGAAACCCAGGCCAGGTATGCAGAGTATTAGAACTGACTTGCTTCTGAGCTCTAGTGTTTAGACAAGTTTGTGTGTGTGTGTGTGGGGGGGGGGGGGGGGGGGTAGGACAGCGCAGGTGGGGGGGGGGCATGATAATCAGAAGTACTAGAACGAGTTTGCTGAACGGACTTTGCTTTGAGCTCTAGTGCTTGACAAGTTTTGTAAGGGGGGGGGGGGGGGCAGGGGCTAGGAATCATCAGAATGCACGAGTATTAGAACTGACTTGCTTCTGAGCTCTAGTGCTTAGATAAGTTGTGTGTGGGGGGGGGTGGGGGGGTAGGACAGCGCAGGTATGCACGAGTATAAGAACTGGACTTTCTTCTGAGCTCTAGTGCTAGTGCTAGACAAGTTTGTGTGGGGGAGGGGGGGGGGGGCTAGGATGGTTGCTGTGGCATGAGAATCAAGGAACTGCCGTGCTCTTCTATGAACCCTAGTGCTCAGATAAGTTTGTGGGGGGGGGGGGGGGCGATGGACAGCGCAGGTATGCATGAGAATCAGAACTGCCGTGCTATTGAACCCTAGTGCTCAGATAAGTTTGTAGGGGGGGGCGGATGGGGGGGGTGCATGGAGGGGTGGGGGGCTAGGACAGCGCAGGGTATGCACGAGTATAAGAACTGACTTGCTATCTGAACCTCTAGTGCTTAGACAAGTTTGTGTGGGGGGGGGGGGGGGTGGCTAGGACAGCGCAGGTAGCACGAGTATAAGAACTGACTTGCTTCTGAGCTCTAGTGCTCAGACAAGGTTTGTGTGGGGGGTGGGGGGGGGGGGCTAAGGAAAGCGGCAGTATGCACGAGTATTAGAACTGACTTGCTTCTGAGCTCTAGTGCTCAGATAAGTTTGTAGGGGGGCGATGGTTGCTGTGCATGAGAATCAGAACTGCCGTGCTATTGAACTCTAGTGCTCAGAGAAGTTTGTTGAGAGGGAGGCAAAGGGGGACTGATGTTAAAAAAGTAACTAAATTCCTATGCTATTGAACTCTACAGGGAAATTACTTCTTTGTGGAATGATGGAATGATTGAACCGATGGTGGCCTGGTGATACTTGGTGATAATAACTGCTTTGAATTTGCCGCGTTCAACCTCTGAGTAGGCGACTAATCTAATCCTAGTCACATTGGGTTATGATTATGGTGACAGATCGTGTTGCTATTTCATAGTGTGATGTTTGGTGCGAGTATTTTTATGTGTGTCTATCTGGTCGGCCAGGTGGTATCTGTCTAGTTGTACAGTCAGTCGCCTTGGATCTGACTGGGTGGTCTGCTTATTATTGTGCCCTCATTCTGTTGCTTGTTTTGAATGTGGTGTTTTCTTTCCTGACCAGGTGTATTCTTGTGCACTTTTGTCGGATAGTTGCCGCTTTATAGAATCTATAGGCTGGTAGTTGACGTTGCTCCGCATGCCGTTTATATAGAGTTTATTTGGAACGTTTCATCAGCTCTCTATTGTATTTCTTCCGTACCGCTGGTCTGCCTCTCAACCCGTCTTGGGCTGGCTTTTTTGGGTTTGAGTTTGTTTAGTTTTCTTGTCCGGTTTAGGTAAGGGGAAAAAGCTTGTGGGGGGGGGGGGGTGGGAGGGGTGAATCTTCCCAAAATATTACAAAAGACAGCAGCGGGTGTTCTGTAGTTAACTTTACAAAAAAATACGTTTTTGTTTGTTTCTGCCTTAGTTATCCGCCGGTGCACACCACTAAAGTACCCCCCACCCCCTCCTCCAATACTAATATTGTGGCCGGTCCACGTGTGGAGAAAGGTTGAAAAACACTGTACTTAAGGGATCCGTGGTTACTAGGTGGGATTGTTTTTTCATACACAGAAGAGTGCGGTCTAACTTCCGGTGCCGGCGACAGGTCTGCTGCTGTATCTAAGTGTAGAGACTGACTACCGTAACTCCGGCCACACATTCTCTACTGTATACTACAAGTGTTTACACTCACACACCTACCATGACTGACAGTCGCAAACAGATTAAGATATACACTGGCGTGGTCAAGAGGTATCGTTTCATTTGTGTTAGTCTCACAAAACTGTCCTTTATTTTGTGAAATTGTCAAAATGCTGAATCACGGAGAAGAGATGATTGAGAATAATTTAAAATTATAATTAATGAATAATTGCGATTATTTACATTATGATTCATGTCTAATTAGTTATCACCGATTTAGTATTGCGACTCAGTAGTTGAACAGTTGTTTCGATTGTTAGACCCCTTTTCAAAAAATGTTACCCACCAGAAAATGACTCATCATCTCTACTCTACTAGTATTACTTCCTCCAGGATACAGTGTTCGATGCTAAATGCCACTTTGAACTCGTCACCCTCATTAGGGGGTATACCCCCACAATAGCACCCACACTAGCCATAACATTCCAGGCAGATCGGGTACCTACCATAACTAACATGCCCAGACATGAATGACTTGTGGGTCTACAATACTGACTACAGGTTGAAACTCTACTGGCAGACATATAGACACTGACTACAGGTTGACACTCTGCTAGCAGACAAATAGATACTGACTACAGGTTGACACTCTGCTGGCAAATAGAAACCTGAATAGCAACATTAAAACTACAAAAATTGTGGAGATAATAAAATGGAAAATGAACCTCGTCATCAGTTACATGAGCAGTCAGATGTGACAGAATAGATGTTATAGAGCCTGTATCATCACACACAAACTGATACAAACACAGCGCACCCACACACACACACACATCAGATAGTCACTAAAAACTTAGCTGTGTGCATCTACATGTGTAGGCTGACACATGTAACCAAGGGAGTAGTTAATTCATACTTGCTCATGTAGGGAGCAATTAAACATACTTGCTCATGTAGGGAGCAATTAAACGTACTTGCTCATGTAGGGAGCAATTAAACGTACTTGCTCATGTAGGGAGCAATTAAACATACTTGCTCATGTAGGGAGCAATTAAACGTACTTGCTCATGTAGGGAGCAATTAAATGTACTGCTCATGTAGGGAGCAATTAAACGTACTTGCTCATGTAGGGAGCAATTAAACCTACTTGCTTATGTAGGGAGCAATTAAACGTACGGCTCATGTAGGAAGCAATTAAACGTACGGCTCATGTAGGGAGCAATTAAACGTACTTGCTCACGTAGGGAGCAATTAAACGTACTTGCTTATGTAGGGAGCAATTAAACAGCTAGTCAGCTCAGTGTGTGGTGCATGGCTCAGTGTGTGGTACATGGCTCAGTGTGTGGTATATGGCTCATGTGTGGGAGCATGGCTACAGTCATGTGGTAGCAATGGCTCAGTGTGTGGTATATAGGGAGCAATTAAAACGTACATGCTCAGTGTGTGGTACATGGCTCAGTGTGTGGTACATGGATCAGTGTGTGGTACATGGCTCAGTGTGTGGTACATGGCTCAGTATGTGGTACATGGCTCAGTATGTGGTACATGGTTCAGTGTGTGGTACATGGTTCAGTGTGTGTACTTGGCTCAGAGTGTGGTGCATGGCTCAGTGTGTGGTACATGGCTCAGTGTGTGGTACATGGCTCAGTGTGTGGTATATAGCTCAGTATGTGGTACATGGCTCAGTGTGTGGTATATAGCTCAGTGTGTGGTACTTGGCTCAGTGTGTGGTACTTGGCTCAGTGTGTGGTACTTGGCTCAGTGTGTGGTACATGGCTCAGTGTGTGGTATATAGCTCAGTATGTAATACATGGCTCAGTGTGTGGTACTTGGCTCAGTGTGTGGTACTTGGCTCAGTATGTAATACATGGCTCAGTGTGTGGTACATGGCTCAGTGTGTGGTACATAGCTCAGTATGTAATACATGGCTCAGTGTGTGGTACATGGCTCAGTGTGTGGTACATGGCTCAGTGTGTGGTACATGGCTCAGTGTGTGGTACATGGCTCAGTGTGTGGTATATAGCTCAGTATGTAATACATGGCTCAGTGTGTGGTACATGGCTCAGTGTGTGGTACATGGCTCAGTGTGTGGTACATGGCTCAGTGTGTGGTATATAGCTCAGTATGTAATACATGGCTCAGTGTGTGGTACATGGCTCAGTGTGTGTGTACATGGCTCAGTGTGTTGGTACATGGCAATTGTGTGGTACATGGCTCAGTGTGTGGTAATGGCTCAGTATTGTAATACATGGGAGCAGTGTGTGGTACATGGCTCAGTGTGTGGGATGGCTCAGTGTGTGGTACATGCTCAGTGTGTGGTACATGGCTCAGTGTGTGGTACATAGCTCAGTATGTGGTACATGACTCAGTATGTAATACATGGCTCAGTGTGTGGTACATGGCTCAGTGTGTGGTACATAGCTCAGTATGTAATACATGGCTCAGTGTGTGGTACATAGCTCAGTATGTGGTACATGGCTCAGTATGTAATACATGGCTCAGTGTGTGGTACATGGCTCAGTGTGTGGTACATGGCTCAGTGTGTGGTACATAGCTCAGTATGTAATACATGGCTCAGTGTGTGGTACATGGCTCAGTGTGTGGTACATGGCTCAGTGTGTGGTACATGGCTCAGTGTGTGGTATATAGCTCAGTATGTAATACATGGCTCAGTGTGTTGTATATGGCTCAGTGTGTGGTACATGGCTCAGTGTGTGGTACATGGCTCAGTGTGTGGTACATGGCTCAGTGTGTGGTACATGGCTCAGTATGTGGTACATGGCTCAGTGTGTGGTATATAGCTCAGTGTGTGGTACTTGGCTCAGTGTGGGTGCCTGGTTCAATGTTTTCTGAAAGTGTTAGCAAACCATAATTTGACAGAATGAACTCTTGGACTGAATCTGACCAGGACAACAAAGGAGAAGGAGTGCTACGAGAAGGAAGCAACCCAGCTGGCAGAGAAACTGGAGAAGATGAAAGCAGATGGAAAAGATGAACATGACATTAAGAAGCAGGTACTGTTCTTTCCAGATTCTTTCAATCTAAAATGTTTATCTTAGAAATAAATGTTTATGTGTTTGTGCGAGCATACATACAGGTTTTTTCATGTGTATATACTTCTGTTATAGGTTTCAACAGAAACAAAAAAATGTAAATGTTGAGCTGACAGTCATGGCTTGGTTGAACAGGGAGTGTTGAGTTGACAGTCATGGCTTGGTTGAACAGGGAGTGTTGAACTGACAGTCATGGCTTGGTTGAACAGGGAGTGTTGAGCTGACAGTCATGGCTTGGTTGAACAGGGAGTGTTGAGCTGACAGTCATGGCTTAGTTGAACAGGGAGTGTTGAACTGACAGTCATGGCTTGGTTGAACAGGGAGTGTTGAGCTGACAGTCATGGCTTGGTTGAACAGGGAGTGTTGAGCTGACAGTCGTGGCTTGGTTGAACAGGGAGTGTTGAGCTGACAGTCATGGCTTGGTTGAACAGGGAGTGTTGAGCTGACAGCCGTGGCTTGGTTGAACAGGGAGTGTTGAGCTGACAGTCATGGCTTGGTTGAACAGGGAGTGTTGAGCTGACAGTCATGGCTTGGTTGAACAGGGAGTGTTGAGCTGACAGTCGTGGCTTGGTTGAACAGGGAGTGTTGAGCTGACAGTCGTGGCTTGGTTGAACAGGGAGTGTTGAGCAGACAGTCATGGCTTGGTTGAACAGGGAGTGTTGAGCAGACAGTCATGGCTTGGTTGAACAGGGAGTGTTGAGCAGACAGTCATGGCTTGGTTGAACAGGGAGTGTTGAGCAGAAAGTCATGGCTTGGTTGAACAGGGAGTGTTTAGCTGACAGTCGTGGCTTGGTTGAACAGGGAGTGTTGAGCCGACAGTCGTGGCTTGGTTGAACAGGGAGTGTTGAGCTGACAGTCGTGGCTTGGTTGAACAGGGAGTGTTGAGCTGACAGTCGTGGCTTGGTTGAACAGGGAGTGTTGAGCTGACAGTCGTGGCTTGGTTGAACAGGGAATGTTCCCCATGTGGGTCAAGGGGCCCTATTATGAGGAAAACAAGAATAGACCCACTGCCTTCCCAACAAAATATATCATAAGAGTCAACTATTTGAGATTTCATATGAAGTCAAAGTGCATCTGCCTGAGAGGCAAGAAACCAACAGTCTGCTCTGCATACAGATCAGCCAGATCTGTAAAATGGAAGTGCATGCAGCAGTCAGGTTCTGGAATAAGACTGTCTAGAGACGTGTGAAAAACCAGGACTTTCTGCTAGAGTTCACAGCCGGTGAACAAATAGAGGAAGAGCCATACATATGTGTTTGTTCATGTGTCTGATGTTATGTTTGTTCATGTGTCTGATGTTATGTTTGTTCATGTGTGTATGCCTGATGTTGTGTTTGTTCATGTGTGATGTTATGTTTGTTCATGTGTGTATGTCTGATGTTATGTTTGTTCATGTGTATATGTCTAATGTTATGTTTGTTCATGTGTATGTCTGATGTTATGTTTGTTCATGTGTGTATGCCTGATGTTATGTTTGTTCATGTGTATGCCTGATGTTATGTTTGTTCATGTGTATGTCTGATGTCATGTTTGTTCATGTGTGTATGTCTGATGTTATGTTTGTTCATGTGTGTATGCCTGATGTTATGTTTGTTCATGTGTGTATGCCTGATGTTATGTTTGTTCATGTGTCTGTCTGATGTTATGTTTGTTCATGTGTGTATACCTGATGTTATGTTTGTTCATGTGTATGCCTGATGTTATGTTTGTTCATGTGTATGTCTGATGTCATGTTTGTTCATGTGTGTATGCCTGATGTTATGTTTGTTCATGTGTATGTCTGATGTTATGTTTGTTCATGTGTGTATGTCTGATGTTATATTTGTTCATGTGTGTATGCCTGATGTTATGTTTGTTCATGTGTATGCCTGATGTTATGTTTGTTCATGTGTATGTCTGATGTCATGTTTGTTCATGTGTGTATGCCTGATGTTATGTTTGTTCATGTGTATGCCTGATGTTATGTTTGTTCATGTGTGTATGTCTGATGTTATGTTTGTTCATGTGTGTATGCCTGATGTTATGTTTGTTCATGTGTGTATGTCTGATGTTATGTTTGTTCATGTGTGTATGTCTGATGTTATGTTTGTTCATGTGTATGTCTGATGTCATGTTTGTTCATGTGTGTATGCCTGATGTTATGTTTGTTCATGTGTATGCCTGATGTTATGTTTGTTCATGTGTGTATGTCTGATGTCATGTTTGTTCATGTGTATGTCTGATGTTATGTTTGTTCATGTGTATGTCTGATGTTATGTTTGTTCATGTGTGTATGCCTGATGTTATGTTTGTTCATGTGTATGCCTGATGTTATGTTTGTTCATGTGTATGTCTGATGTCATGTTTGTTCATGTGTATGTCTGATGTTATGTTTGTTCATGTGTATGTCTGATGTTATGTTTGTTCATGTGTGTATGTCTGATGTCATGTTTGTTCATGTGTGTATGCCTGATGTTATGTTTGTTCATGTGTGTATGTCTGATGTTATGTTTGTTCATGTGTGTATGTCTGATGTTATGTTTGTTCATGTGTGTATGCCTGATGTTATGTTTGTTCATGTGTGTATGCCTGATGTTATGTTTGTTCATGTGTGTATGCCTGATGTTATGTTTGTTCATGTGTCTGTCTGATGTTATGTTTGTTCATGTGTGTATACCTGATGTTATGTTTGTTCATGTGTATGCCTGATGTTATGTTTGTTCATGTGTATGTCTGATGTCATGTTTGTTCATGTGTGTATGCCTGATGTTATGTTTGTTCATGTGTATGTCTGATGTTATGTTTGTTCATGTGTGTATGTCTGATGTTATATTTGTTCATGTGTGTATGCCTGATGTTATGTTTGTTCATGTGTATGCCTGATGTTATGTTTGTTCATGTGTATGTCTGATGTCATGTTTGTTCATGTGTGTATGCCTGATGTTATGTTTGTTCATGTGTGTATGCCTGATGTTATGTTTGTTCATGTGTGTATGTCTGATGTTATGTTTGTTCATGTGTGTATGCCTGATGTTATGTTTGTTCATGTGTGTATGTCTGATGTTATGTTTGTTCATGTGTGTATGTCTGATGTTATGTTTGTTCATGTGTGTATGTCTGATGTCATGTTTGTTCATGTGTGTATGCCTGATGTTATGTTTGTTCATGTGTATGCCTGATGTTATGTTTGTTCATGTGTGTATGTCTGATGTCATGTTTGTTCATGTGTATGTCTGATGTTATGTTTGTTCATGTGTATGTCTGATGTTATGTTTGTTCATGTGTGTATGCCTGATGTTATGTTTGTTCATGTGTATGCCTGATGTTATGTTTGTTCATGTGTATGTCTGATGTCATGTTTGTTCATGTGTATGTCTGATGTTATGTTTGTTCATGTGTATGTCTGATGTTATGTTTGTTCATGTGTGTATGTCTGATGTCATGTTTGTTCATGTGTATGCCTGATGTTATGTTTGTTCATGTGTATGTCTGATGTTATGTTTGTTCATGTGTGTATGTCTGATGTTATGTTTGTTCATGTGTGTATGCCTGATGTTATGTTTGTTCATGTGTGTATGCCTGATGTTATGTTTGTTCATGTGTGTATGCCTGATGTTATGTTTGTTCATGTGTGTATGCCTGATGTTATGTTTGTTCATGTGTGTATGCCTGATGTTATGTTTGTTCATGTGTGTATGTCTGATGTTACAGTTCTCCATAGAAACATAAAACATATAATTGTTGAGCTCACAGACCTGGCTTGGTTGAACAACGAGAGCAGTAAAGCCAGGGAGAGTTGAACAGTGAGAGCTGTAAAGCCAGGGAGAGTTGAACAACGAGAGCAGTAAAGCCAGGGAGAGTTGAACAACGTGAGCTGTAAAGCCAGGGAGAGTTGAACAACGAGAGCAGTAATGCCAGGGAGAGTTGAACAACGAGAGCAGTAAAGCCAGGGAGAGTTGAACAACGAGAGCAGTAAAGCCAGGGAGATTTGAACAGTGAGAGCTGTAAAGTCAGGGAGAGTTGAACAACGAGAGCAGTAAAGCCAGGGAGAGTTGAACAGTGAGAGCAGTAAAGCCAGTGAGAGTTGAACAGTGAGAGCAGTAAAGCCAGGGAGAGTTGAACAACGAGAGCTGTAAAGCCAGGGAGAGTTGAACAGTGAGAGCTGTAAAGCCAGCGAGAGTTGAACAGTGAGAGCTGTAAAGCCAGCGAGAGTTGAACAACGAGAGCAGTAAAGCCAACGAAAGCAGTAAAGCCATGTCATCATTGCCAGTTAATGCAGTCACCAGCCAGTTAATGCAGTCACCAGCCAGTTAATGCAGTCACCAGCCAGTTAATGCAGTCACCAGCCAGTTAATGCAGTCACCAGCCAGTTAATGCAGTCACCAGCCAGTTAATGCAGTCACCAGCCAGTCAATGCAGTCACCAGCCAGTTAATGCAGTCACCAGCCAGTTAATGCAGTCACCAGCCAGTTAATGCAGTCACCAGCCAGTCAATGCAGTCACCAGCCAGTTAATGCAGTCACCAGCCAGTTAATGCAGTCACCAGCCAGTTAATGCAGTCACCAGCCAGTTAATGCAGTCACCAGCCAGTCAATGCAGTCACCAGCCAGTTAATGCAGTCACCAGCCAGTTAATGCAGTCACCAGCCAGTCAATGCAGTCACAAGCCAGTCAATGCAGTCACCAGCCAGTTAATGCAGTCACCAGCCAGTCAATGCAGTCACCAGCCAGTCAATGCAGTCACCAGCCAGTTAATGCAGTCACCAGCCAGTTAATGCAGTCACCAGCCAGTTAATGCAGTCACCAGCCAGTCAATGCAGTCACCAGCCAGTCAATGCAGTCACCAGCCAGTTAATGCAGTCACCAGCCAGTTAATGCAGTCACCAGCCAGTTAATGCAGTCACCAGCCAGTTAATGCAGTCACCAGCCAGTTAATGCAGTCACCAGCCAGTCAATGCAGTCACCAGCCAGTTAATGCAGTCACCAGCCAGTCAATGCAGTCACCAGCCAGTCAATGCAGTCACCAGCCAGTTAATGCAGTCACCAGCCAGTTAATGCAGTCACCAGCCAGTCAATGCAGTCACCAGCCAGTTAATGCAGTCACCAGCCAGTTAATGCAGTCACCAGCCAGTTAATGCAGTCACCAGCCAGTTAATGCAGTCACCAGCCAGTTAATGCAGTCACCAGCCAGTTAATGCAGTCACCAGCCAGTTAATGCAGTCACCAGCCAGTTAAAGCAGTCACCAGCCAGTTAAAGCAGTCACCAGCCAGTTAATGCAGTCACCAGCCAGTTAATGCAGTCACCAGCCAGTTAATGCAGTCACCAGCCAGTTAATGCAGTCACCAGCCAGTTAAAGCAGTCACCAGCCAGTTAAAGCAGTCACCAGCCAGTCAATGCAGTCACCAGCCAGTTCATTGGTCTCAAACCACAAGATAGAACAAGACAGTGATTCCTCATACGTATCCCCACCAGAATAGGAACTTGACTTCTTTCATTATACTTATTATTGATTGAAAGTGTGTTATTTTTATTTTGCAGATTTAATATACACCTTGTCTTTCACTTATGACCATCTACTACACTTACAACCATCTACACTTACAACCATCTACACTTACAACCATCTACACTTACAACCATCTACACCTACACTTACAACCAACCATCTACACTTACAACCATCTACACTTACAACAATCTACACTTACAACCATCTACACTTACAACCATCTACACTTAAACCGTCTGCACTAACAACCATCTACATTTACAACCATCTACACGAACAACCATTTACACTTACAACCACCTACATTTACAAACATCTACACTAACAACCATCTACACCAACAACCATCTACACTCGTGACCACACACAGTAAATAAAAATATTAAATAAAGACAGATAGCTGCATTGGCAGGGTCACAAAACTCCAGCAACTGAGTACATATTATGTATTTTTCACATTATGAAGAATAATTCAACATACACAGATTGAATTGATGTCTTTAATGTACAATCTTGAACCCCGTTTGAATGAAAATACTGTTGAAAATATAATTTCCACTAATTAGTTAGTTAGTTAGTTAGTTAGTTGGGTTATCATCATTGCACTCCGGACATGTCCATAGGTGCTCAGATCCTCCCCTCAGTATGAACCTCAACGTCCGATGGCTAATAGTACCAGTTCTATGTTGATTAACAAGTCTTCAGACGTGTCTGGTGTGCGTCTCGTTTTTTGCTGTGCCGATCTTAATTTCCCAAGTCTGCTATTCTGGCGAGTGATGTGGATTCACTGCCACCAAAGTCCTCTATCCTTCCCATTTCTCTGACTAATTTCGACTAATGACCAGTTCAATAAAACGGAACTCTTGTCATATTTTGAGGGGGCCCTGTATAGTGTAGTTTTTTTTAAATTTTTTTAAAATTCAGTTTAGCCAAATATTTCAGCTGTAAATTGTAATCACCATCATTGAATGACAGTTGAATTTGTCTTGTGTCTCCAACAGGGAGAAGTGTTGCAGGAATCCAGGTCAATGGTTCCAGACACCACAAAGAGGCTGAAGAAAGCTGTCAATGATCTTTCTGAGCTCCTGGTATTTCTGTTTGTTGTTTGTCCTCATCTGCTTGGATATATTTGAAAGATCACAAATTCTTGCTAGTGACAAATCTGCGATCACAGTTTCTTCTTTTTCTCCTCATTCACCAGCTGTCAACTCCAGAAGAAGGTTCTGGTTGTTCATCCACTTCTGGACTTTTAGTCTTGTGCTAGAGCTTGAGTGTTGCATGCACATCCATTTTACAGATCTGGATTATTTATGTGCAGACTGTTGGTTCCTTGCCGCTCAGGCAAATGCACTCTGACTTCAAAGGAAACACTCCAATTAGTCGACTCTTACCACATACTTGGGGAAGGGTGTAGTCTGTTCTTGTTTCCATATAATACTGTCCAGAGACTCATATGGGAAGATCACACTGTTTGAAATTCTTTGAAATCCAGAGATGAAATCACACTGTACAACTTTGGCATACAATCTAGAGATCACAGAATCACGCTATTTGACTTTGGCATAATGTCTAGAGATCACAGAATCAAAAATGGAACTGTTCATACAGATGTAAAGGCAAATACTTTTGTTTGGCCCATATGTCAGGTTGCTTCCTGGCACAACATACCACATTTTCCTGTTAAGTGTATGCTGCCTTTTTTTTATTGATCCCTGACACTGATGGTTCACAAGCACTGGTTCTTTTTGGAGAGGAGAACCAACCCAGACATCATTTCTGTATTTTTGGAGAGGAGGACCAACATCATGGCTGTATTTTCTGTACACCTTGCTGAAATAGTATTCACCTTTAACTAATCTCAGTTTAATTGTGAGTATTTTAACCACTTCAGTGGTGTCTCAATGGGCACCAGTATGGGTTTTAGCTATGCTGGCTTTTTTAAAAAGGTTTTTCTTGAATACCAGGTTTGGTAGACATACGGTAGTAAGTTTGCTGAGGTGTACACGAGGTTCATAGATGACACCAAAATATCCATAGATGAACTTGACCAATTCATAAATTGAATTAGTAACCTTAATCTGGCAGTTCAACTCGGCTGCCTGATTTCACCCGTTTCTTGTGAATATTTTGAACATCAAGGTTAGCATCAGCTGATGCTGCCTGCAGATTCTCATTGTCTGTCTTGTCTGTCTTGTCTGCCCACCCCTGCTCTTGCAGAATTTCTGTACATACTCTCACCTTCTTAGACTCCTACACTGGGTTCTGGGCACTCTCTTGCAGAATTTCTGTACATACTCTCACCTTCTTAGACTCCTACACTGGGTTCTGGGCAAGGCAGGTGGGTTTCTCCGTTGATTGTCATGCCCAGCTGGCTTTACTCTGAACATATTCTCCAAAAAGCTCTTTATAAAATACGACCTACCACCCTGCACTAAATCAAAACCTTCTCCTGATAGACATTCAGCAAAGTCTCATGATGATGTTGATGGCTGATACTACCATTCTGTTTCATGTAGAGATACTACCATTCTGTTTCATGTAGAGATACTACCATTCTGTTTCATGTAGAGATACTACCATTCTGTTTCATGTAGAGATACTACCATTCTGTTTCATGTAGAGATACTACCATTCTTTTTCATGTAGAGATACTACCATTCTGTTTCATGTAGAGATACTACCATTCTGTTTCATGTAGAGATACTACCATTCTGTTTCATGTAGAGATACTACCATTCTGTTTCAGGTAGAGATACTACCATTCTGTTTCATGTAGAGATACTACCATTCTGTTTCATGTAGAGATACTACCATTCTGTTTCATGCAGAGATACTACCATTCTGTTTCATGTTGAGATACTACCATTCTGTTTCATGCAGAGATACTACCATTCTGTTTCAGGTAGAGATACTGCCTATCTGTTTCATGTAGAGATACTACCATTCTGTTTCATGTAGAGATACTACCATTCCGTTTCATGCAGAGATACTACCATTCTGTTTCATGCAGAGATACTACCATTCTGTTTCATGTAGAGATACTACCATTCTGTTTCATGCAGAGATACTGCCTATCTGTTTCATGTAGAGATACTACCATTCTGTTTCATGTAGAGATACTACCATTCTGTTTCATGTAGAGATACTACCATTCTGTTTCATGCAGAGATACAACCATTCTGTTTCATGTAGAGATACTACCATTCTGTTTCATGCAGAGATACTACCATTCTGTTTCATGCAGAGATACTACCATTCTGTTTCAGGTAGAGATACTGCCTATCTGTTTCATGTAGAGATACTACCATTCTGTTTCATGTAGAGATACTACCATGATGTTTCATGCAGAGATACTACCATTCTGTTTCATGCAGAGATACTACCATTCTGTTTCATGTAGAGATACTGCCATTCTGTTTCATGCAGAGATACTGCCTATCTGTTTCATGTAGAGATACTACCATTCTGTTTCATGTAGAGATACTACCATTCTGTTTCATGTAGAGATACTACCATTCTGTTTCATGCAGAGATACAACCATTCTGTTTCATGTAGAGATACTACCATTCTGTTTCATGCAGAGATACTACCATTCTGTTTCAGGTAGAGATACTACCATTCTGTTTTATGCAGAGATACTACCATTCTGTTTCATGCAGAGATACTACCATTCTGTTTCATGCAGAGATACTACCATTCTGTTTCAGGTAGAGATACTACCATTCTGTTTCATGCAGAGATACTACCATTCTGTTTCATGTAGAGATACTACCATTCTGTTTCATGCAGAGATACTACCATTCTGTTTCATGCAGAGATACTACCATTCTGTTTCATGCAGAGATACTACCATTCTGTTTCATGCAGAGATACTACCATTCTGTTTCATGCAGAGACACTACCATTATTTTTCATGCAGAGATACTACCATTCTGTTTCATGCAGAGATACTACCATTCTGTTTCATGTAGAGATACTACCATTCTGTTTCATGCAGAGATACTACCATTCTGTTTCATGCAGAGATACTACCATTCTGTTTCATGCAGAGATACTACCATTCTGTTTCATGTAGAGATATTACCATTCTGTTTCATGCAAAGATACTACCATTCTGTTTCATGTAGAGATACTACCATTCCGTTTCATGTAGAGATACTACCATTCTGTTTCACGCAGAGATACTACCATTCTGTTTCATGCAGAGATACTGCCATTCTGTTTCATGTAGAGATACTACCATTCTGTTTCATGTAGAGATACTACCATTATGTTTCATGCAGAGATACTGCCATTCTGTTTCATGCAGAGATACCACCATTCTGTTTCATGCAAAGATACTACCATTCTGTTTCATGTAGAGATACTACCATTCTGTTTCATGTAGAGATACTACTATTCTGTTTCATGCAGAGATACTCCCATTCTGTTTCATGTAGAGATACTACCATTCTGTTTCATGCAGAGATACTCCCATTCTGTTTTATACAGAGATACTACCATTCTGTTTCATGTAGAGATACTCCCATTCTGTTTCATGTAGAGATACTACCATTCTGTTTCATGCAGAGATACTACCATTCTGTTTCATGCAGAGATACTACCATTCTGTTTCATGTAGAGATACTACCATTCTGTTTCATGCAGAGATACTACCATTCTGTTTCATGTAGAGATACTACCATTCTGTTTCATGCAGAGATACTACCATTCTGTTTCATGCAGAGATACTACCATTCTGTTTCATGTAGATATACTACTATTCTGTTTCATGCAGAGATACTACCATTCTGTTTCATGCAGAGATACTACCATTCTGTTTCATGTAGAGATACTACCATTCCGTTTCATGTAGAGATACTACCATTCTGTTTCATGCAGAGATACTACCATTCTGTTTCATGTAGAGATACTCCCATTCTGTTTCATGTAGAGATACTACCATTCTGTTTCATGCAGAGATACTACCATTCTGTTTCATGTAGAGATACTACCATTCTGTTTCATGTAGAGATACTACCATTCTGTTTCATGCAGAGATACTACCATTCTGTTTCATGTAGAGATACTACCATTCTGTTTCATGTAGAGATACTACCATTCTGTTTCATGTAGAGATACTACCATTCTGTTTCATGCAGAGATACTACCATTCTGTTTCATGTAGAGATACTACCATTCTGTTTCATGTAGAGATACTACCATTCTGTTTCATGTAGAGATACTACCATTCCGTTTCATGCAGAGATACTACCATTCTGTTTCATGTAGAGATACTACCATTCTGTTTCATGCAGAGATACTACCATTCTGTTTCATGTAGAGATACTACCATTCTGTTTCATGTAGAGATACTACCATTCTGTTTCATGCAGAGATACTACCATTCTGTTTCATGTAGAGATACTACCATTCCGTTTCATGTAGAGATACTACCATTCTGTTTCATGTAGACACATTTTATTTTGGAATATTTTCAGAAAAAAGAGTCCGACCTTGATGGAACAGAGGAGTATACAGAGGCTGTGGCAGCATTGAAGGCTGCAGAACCCCATCTTGCCTAGTTTTTTTTAAATCATTTTTGTCATTTGTGTAAACCAGACCTGCTTTATGTTGCAGTTTGTGTGCTCCAGACTTGCTGTGAGTTTCATTTCATTTGATTATTTTATCAATGGGTAATGTCAGCCGTCACTGGCATCCGGGAAAGAGACTGATTCCCTCATTCTCATGGACACTTGTTGTTCTATGTTAATTTTTATATTTGCATTGTTTTTTTTTAAATATTTTTTTTAAATAGTATCAATGGCATAGTTTGCCTGTGATTGTGTCTTATGCTTGTCTGTGAATGTGTCTTATGCTTGTCTGTGAATGTGTCTTATGCTTGTCTGTGAATGTGTCTTATGCTTGTCTGTGATTGTGTCTTATGCTTGTCTGTGAATGTGTCTTATGCTTGTCTGTGAATGTGTTTTGTTCTTGTGTATGAATATTGTCTTATGCTTGTCTGTGAATGTGTCTTATGCTTGTCTGTGAATGTGTTTTGTTCTTGTGTATGAATATTGTCTTATGCTTGTCTGTGAATGTGTTTTGTTCTTGTGTATGAATATTGTCTTATGCTTGTCTGTGAATGTGTTTTGTTCTTGTGTATGAATATTGTCTTATGCTTGTCTGTGAATGTGTTTTGTTCTTGTGTATGAATATTGTCTTATGCTTGTCTGTGAATGTTTTTTGTTCTTGTGAATAAATGTGTCTTTTTTTGTCTATGAATGTGTCTTGTTCTTGCCTGTGAATGTGACTAGTTCTTGTCTGTGGATATGACTAGTTCTTGCCTGTGAATGTGACTAGTTCTTGTCTGTGGATATGACTAGTTCTTGCCTGTGAATGTGACTAGTTCTTGTCTGTGGATATGACTAGTTCTTGCCTGTGAATGTGACTAGTTCTTGTCTGTGGATATGACTAGTTCTTGCCTGTGAATGTGACTAGTTCTTGCCTGCGGATGTATTTTGTTCTTTTCTGTGAATAAATTTTTATTATTACCAACATTTTATCTATTGCTGAATGCCTGCATTTTCATGTGGTATCTTTGCTAATCTCTTTACTTACTTGCAAGTTTTTTTTAATTCTTCTTTTAAATACAAACAAAATCACATTTAGTATATCTTTGAGAGCAGACGGTTGTTGCTGTCTGCAAATGGTGTCAGGTCAACGAGCCTTACAGGTTGCTTGTACATGTGTTGTTATTTTTATTGTTAGATCGCTGCGTTTAATGTGATTTCATCAGCTGTGAATGTTTAACTATGATATTTTGAAATATCAATTAAAACATGAAATAATTATATATAGTTGTTTTTGCTGACATGAAATTATAATGATCATCTTTATATCTTGTCTAAATGACAGCTGGTGAAGTTTGTAGAGATATAAACAGATTTCTCATGACTTTGCTCAGTCGTACAGATAAGACAAAGAGGAAAGGGATTCACTTAAAACATGCAGCGAATCTTTTTCTCGATCTTTAGTTACTTCATCCAGGTATTGGGAGGGGGGGGGGGGGGGTGTCAGGATCTTCTGTGTGTGCTTTTTGTAATGTGTTGTATAAGTTGTCTTCATTTCATTAAGACTGTTGTTGTTGATGCCCTCATTCAATATTTTGCCTTGTTCTTTTTGTGCTTTGTATGCAGTAAATTTTCCAGCTTGGTTCTGTGTGGCAGCTCTTGTCAGGGCATTCTAGTCAGACAACCATACTATCTCATCTTGGCATTCTAGTCAGACAACCATACTATCTCATCTTGGCATTCTAGTCAGACAACCATACTATCTCATCTTGGCATTCTAGTCAGACAACCATACTATCTCATCTTGGCATTCTAGTCAGACAACCATACTATCTCATCTTGGCTATCTCATCTTGGCTAGTCAGACAACCATACTATCTCATCTTGGCATTCTAGTCAGACAACCACCATATCTTGGCATCTTGGCATTCTAGTCAGACAACCATACTATCTCATCTTGGCATTCTAGTCAGACAACCATACTATCTCATCTTGGCATCTAGTCAGACATTCTAGTCATCACAACCATACTATCTCATCTTGGCATTCTAGTCAGACAACCATACTATCTCATCTTGGCATTCTAGTCAGACAACCATACTATCTCATCTTGGCATTCTAGTCAGACAACCATACTATCTCATCTTGGCATTCTAGTCAGACAACCATACTATCTCATCTTGGCATTCTAGTCACCCATACTATCTCATCTTGGCATTCTAGTCAGACAACCATACTATCTCATCTTGGCATTCTAGTCAGACAACCATACTATCTCATCTTGGCATTCTAGTCAGACAACCATACTATCTCATCTTGGCATTCTAGTCAGACAACCATACTATCTCATCTTGGCATTCTAGTCAGACAACCATACTATCTCATCTTGGCATTCTAGTCAGACAACCATACTATCTCTCTTGGCATCTTGGCATCTTGGCATTCTAGTCAGACAACCATACTATCTCATCTTGGCATTCTAGTCAGACAACCATACTATCTCATCTTGGCATTCTAGTCAGACAACCATACTATCTCATCTTGGCATTCTAGTCAGACAACCACACTATCTCATCTTTGCTGTTGATTGAATTCCATGACTGACTCCAGTCCTAGTCTTCTTCTAATCTCTTTATTTGTTAATGTTATCTCTTCTTGTGACTCTGGTAGCTCTTCTAAAATGTCTCATCTCATTTGTTCTAATTCTGCACACATTAGTTTTAGTCAGGGTCTGTGTCTAGCACTGGTAGCTGGCCAACGTATAGTTCTTATTAGATTTGCCTTGGCAGACAAAGGTATCCTCCTGTGTGTCAAAAACAATGTTTGTTGCCCCAGTACCTGCTTTTAGTATGTTCATTTCTCTATCCATTCTTCCTTCTGAGTTGAAAACTGACTGACTGGATATTTAAATTCATTTGTTTATCTCAGTGGTATTTACTTTGTTGGTTTAGTCTCTGCTTGTCCACCGATCTTGTCCACCAACCAGCATTGTCTCCTACCTTTCATAGCTTATTTTCAAATATTTCTCACACGTGGTTAAGATAGGTTAGGAGATGGCCGTGAAAAAATGGTCATAGAGTGAAGAGAATCAGTTCGACAGCAACTTGGTCTCAGAAAATAGAGGACTTTGTCGTGACAAGGCTTCAACGACATCATCATCATCATCAATCAGGTGCTGACTCCACAATGAGGGTTTGCTGCTCTATCTCTTGCCTTGTGTGTCCACTCTCTCAGACTGCTGTTTGCCCATCTCTTGATGTTGTCCCTCCACTTGTATCATTGTCTACCTTTTGCTCTCTTGCCCTCGACCTTTTCCTTCAGTCTGATTTTTAACAGCAGTGAAATAGACTATAGAAATCCCACTTGTACTACTGTCTACTTATTAGCCACCTGCTTTCAACTTTGTTCCCTCCAGTTTGGTTTTTAGAGAAAGGTCCCATGTTTTCTTAGGTGACCTTTTAATGTTGACTGATCTGTTTTATGTTTTTCAACTCTCATTTCAGTCAGTCTTCCTGGAACCTTCACTGTTTTTTCATAAAATACGACCTATTGTGTTTATACACGTCTGCAGGGCCTCAGTTTGGCTTCTGTTTACTGTTCAGGGTTTCTGCACCGTTACTATGGTAGTCCTGAAAAAACATAACTATCATATTTAATAGTAAAACGTTTAAGAACTATTTGGTGGAACAACGAAGTTAAAAACATCGTATCCAGAAAGAAGGAGGCATATAAAAAATGGCTAAAATCAAAATCACATCAAGATGATATAGATTACAGATTAGTAAGAAGAGAAGCAAAACGCAAAATTAAAACATCTAAAGACGAATCTTGGAGAAATTATGGTCAACAGATGGCTACCCTCAGCAAGAACTCCCCTAGAGAATTCTATAAACATGTAAAAATCATGAGATAAAGACACATAAGCTACAACCCAACAACTATCATCAACAACAAGGGAGGCATACCTCTATTTAGTCCACAACAGAGGTTGGCAAGATGGGCAGAGTATTTTCAAGAACTTCTTAATCCCACAGGCAAAATAGATAATTTTAAACTTTGTACCTCAAAGCTGTGAACAAGAGGAACCAAACTGCATAGCAGCGGAAGTAAGAGCATTTATACAGAACAGCTACAGAAACAAGGCACCAGGTCTGGATGGAAAAAATACAGAAGGGATCCAAGCCTGTGGAGAAGTGGGTGTTAAATGGCTTACTATAATTTTTAATATAGCTTGGGAAGAAAGAAAGGTCCCAGCTGAGTGGCACCAGGCATTAATAGTACCGTTATGGAAAAAGAAAGGTAATAGGAGAGAATGTGAAGCATACAGAGGTATATCCCTACTGAGTCAAGTAGGAAAAATGTACACCAAATTACTAGAACAGAGAGTTACACCCATAGCGGAACAACAGCTGAGTGCATCACAATTCGATTTCAGAAAAGGCAGAGGATGCACAGATGCATTATTCACTCTGAGGCAAGTGTGTGAGAAAGCCATTGAGTATAATACCAAACAAAATATTGTGTTTATAGATCAGGAAAAGGCTTTATATAGAGTGGAAAGAAACAAACTGTAGTCTGTTCTTGAGAACTACGGGGTACAAGGACAGTTACTAGAGAACATCATAGCCATGTACCACACAAGCCAAAGTGCAGTAAAAACACAAAAAGGCATATCAGATATGTTCACAGTCAACACAGGTGTGAGATAAGGATGTGTGCTCTCCCCACTTTTATTTAACATCTAAATAGACAGAATACCTAAAGAAGCAAGTTCTGGTACAGACAACATAGACCTTTATAATCATGATGAAGTACACACATCAGGAGAAGTTATCGATTCACCCACATTAAACGAACTACTATTTGCTTACGACCAGTGCATGTTCTACCCTGAAGAAGATAGACTGCAAGACCACATTAACAGGTTAAACTCAGCATGCAGTAAATACAACATGAAGATCAATGTAAACCAAACCGAAACAATGCAAGTTAGTAGAACCCCTGCCCCACTA